TATAACTCAGTTTTGCCGAACAGTGACTAAGTTTATTAAAACAGTATTCTTTTCGTCGGTGGGATAATACAAAAATGCTAATCGTTATTTGGCCATTAATTGTGATGTAAATTTTCTTTTCTGACCAACTTAATAATAATGAAAAAAAGAATTGTTGAAAAGTTAAATAAATTTTATTTTTTTTAATACAAAAGATAAGAATTCATTCTTCAAAATTAATCTTCCCGTTCTTTTTCTTCCTTTTCAAAAATTCAGCTCATAAATATTTTTTAATATATATACTTTTCGTTGTATTGATAATAACCAACTAAAATATAGTTTCAGATACACAACTGTAATCATAACTTTGCCGACGTTACAAAAACGTCCATAAATCATTTGTCGTTTGTGATAAATTCCCTTTTTTTTTTTTTTTATTGTAAAAATATAAGAAAAAAAAAGACAAAGCAAAACAAAAAAGTGATGCTTTTTTCTGTATACTAATGAATCAGATCAAATAGTTGGGCCAGAAAGTTTTTAATACACTTTCCTCTCAAAATTTAGCAGAACATTTTTCAGCAATAACATTTGGCAGATCATCTAAAATTGGGGCATTAAAAAAAAAAAGTTTTTAGCGAGTGGTATCAACGAAAAAAAAAAATGAATAAGAAAGAAACTATTCAAAAATGTTCTAATGCCAAATTTTATTGATGAATAATTTAAAAAAAAAGGCACAATTATAATTCGGGGAAAGGGGGTTTGCTTACAAAAATTTATGCTTTATTTTTTTAAAGTTTTATGTACAAAACAAAGATTGGTATTTTGTTTTCCTAAAAAATGCCTCGTAACAATGGCTTTTCTAAAGGTATAAATATGGAAGAAAAAAATTACATTGTTCAACAACTGTCTGTTCGGACTGTAAATCGAAACAAAACAAAAAGGAAGCCAAAAAGTGATCAACTTAACATCAGTGATAAAGCCAACGATTTTAGCTGTTCGTCAATGTATCATTGAGAAAACAAAAGCATAAAACACTTATGAAAACTAACTTCAGGACGATTTTTGACGCCTGGTATCCAGTCAAAATCGTCTGCACAACCTTCAACATTGAATAAACCATCAAGACGATCAACAATTGTAAACCCCATTTTATCATCGGGATCAATATGATCGTATATCTGTTTACCCTTCAAAAAATTGAATAAATAAAAGCAAACATTTGTAGAAATCAATTAATAACAATGATTAATTGTAGCAAAACTAAAACTGTATAAAGCTTATTAACAGATACTTTTTTTGAATTAAACAAACAAAAAAAATCCATCAATTTATTTTCATTCCAGTTCCCCTCTTCAAAAATGTTTCGGCTCCAACGTTTATTACCTTTGCAGGTCCATCTAAATCAAACAGTGTTACTGTAGCATTCAGAACACCTTTTGGGTTTTTCTTGCAAACAAGTTTACCGGTTGCCCAAACGCATTCCGTACTCGAAAATACCACAGATATTGGCAGAGTAAGGAGCAACAAAAAAAATATCATCATCCTTTGTTCCCTTCTTTCTCTTTTCTTTCTTATCTCCTGCAAAAATCATAATAAATTGAATTAAAAGCAGAATAAAACGACAATAGACAGTTTCAGCTCCTAAATAACAACACATATTTGCCTTATTTTTGACTAATTATAACGAATCAAAAAAATACTGATGTCAATAACAGTAATAAATGAGGTGTTAATTTTGTTTCTTTTATTTATTTATTTTTTTCTCAATAAATTTATTATCATCATTCAATAAACAGTTTTAAAAATGTATCTTTTTTGCTATAACCATTTGGCTTCAGTTGAAGCAGAAAACAGTAAGGGAACATCAATAAGAACAACAAAAAAAGAAAAAAAAAACTGAACAGCAGAAGTCGAAAGAGCAGTCCAAACAACAACAAAAGCAAATGCTGTAATAATTATTCAACAGCCAACAACAATATTGAATAATCTGTCGGGAAAAAAAAAGGAGCAAAAACTTCCTTCTGCCATAAAAAAAAGAATAAAAAGTTAAGAATTTTAAAAAATTCATATATTATTCAGCTTAAATGCATTCGTTTTGATCACGTGAATAAGAAATTCTTTAAAGACTGTGCACAACAAATAAGTAGCAAAAATCAGAGCAGTAAAAAAGTGCAAAACACTTCAAAAAAAAAACATTACCCACATTTTCCAAAGAGCAAAAAAAAAAAAAGAGCTGCTCACTTATTCATAACAGCTAAAATCTGTTTAGGTCACAGGAACTTTTGCTCTCGTAACCACAACTATATATATACCCGCAATTCTCTGATCTTCAAAATCATTTTATAACTGACAGTATCTGTTCCTTCTCTCGTCTCAGTTCATCTTTATGTCACCCTTTAAACACCTGATTTGCGGAACATGTCCAAATATGACTAAGGTCAATCAAAATTCCCGGAACTACGTGATGAAATAACTGAGATGTAAAAAACAAGAAAAAAAAAGTGGGAAACCACCTCCTAAAAGATATACTTCAAAAAATAAATCCATTTTTCTTGTCAAACTCTGTCACCTAAAAACAACAAAAAAAGACAAGAAAATGAACTATCCTTTAATACACTTCTTATCGCATCTGTCCACAGCAGCAATATGGCTGTGGCGATCTCACAATTATTCGGTCGATGAAGGATGAAGGTGTAGGCCGGAAAAATTTCCGACTGACCAACAAGAAAACTTTATTCTCCATTTCACACGAACACCAAAAGAGCAAAAAAAGCAATTAAAGAAAACTACTAATGGAAAGAAAAACAAATAAAAAAGTGAACAACGCTTAACAATAATAATAATAATAATAATAATCATAAATAATACAGTGGTATAACACACATAACTTGTAACAAAAGTAAAAAAATTTTGAAAAAATTAATCAGTGTTGGTGCTATAAGTTAATCAATCTTAACACAACCATCCTCAGCTCTTCTGAACCACAACATTCTTCTTGCGAAACTTCCAGGGCAAATAACAAGAAAAAAAAAACGCTCTGATCCGCTAAAGACATCACGATGTGTTTATAAATTACTAGTTATAAATAAACAGAGTACGTAAACGAAACGATATGTGTAATCATGCGATCGCGCCGGCAATGATCCCACATAATGACGAGTCATCGGATCTAAAACAATACAATTTTTCACTGCTGCTCAACAAGAAAATTAGCGAAACGCGAATTATATAAATCATACGCAACAATCGTTTTAAAGAAACGTTAAGGTGACTGTAAATTATAACAAAATAGGAATCAAATTAAAAAGAAATAAAGCTTAAATAGACGTCTGAAAAACGTTCAGTATTAATAACCCTCTGAACTCACTTTTGTTTCATCAAAAAGTAGAAAAGAAGACAAAAAAGAAAAGTTCAAAAAGGCCACCACTTGCGGCATCCTATTGTGCTGGCTACCTATTTGTGTCTCTACGCTCTCAAGGGATATTGATTCGTATCTCACCCGTTCAGCGTGCACATTTTCTTTACTAACAACACAAAAATCTGCCACAACATGTGTGAACAACCTTGCTTATAATCTGTTGTACTTGACTTTAAAAAAAAGAAACAAAACTATGGAAAACAAAGACTTTCTCCAGTATAAAAAAGCATCAGACCACTTCTCAGAATCACCATATTTGGCGAAACTAACTTTCAGGAAGAAAAGCCCTTACCAAAATCAAAAATCACAGCTAAAAACAAAGAAAAGATCGGTTAAGAAAGTTGTAAACTAAATTGTAAGAATCCTGACGCCCAAAAAAACAACTTTACTTATTAAAAAGAGTACTCCTATTAAATCTACAATAAGTTCATGAACTTCTTACTAAATCAGGAAAAAAAGTAAGCCTAGTAACAAAAAAGTTTTGACAAACATGTAGTTGCCTAAAACTTCTAAAATGAATATACGAATCCAAAATTCCTGGCAACACTATTATATCAATTATTAAAGTGAAAGAAGTTGAAAAACCTCATGACTTTCAAGTACCAAGGTTTATGAAGAAATATGTAAGCAGAAAAAATAGATTTAGACAATAGATATATACGTTTCTCAATCTTCAGCTGTTTTCAAGATTTTCTAATGCAGAAAATATCAAAGATTTTACCTCACAATTATGTTCATAGTAACAGACTGATCAGCAGGATCTAAAGCGAGCCGTACTTTAGCAAGTACTTCGTGGCCACCTCTAAAAACACCTGCTAACAACAATAAGTGACTGCTTTTGCCTTCTTGTACTCGATCCGTCCGTTCACAAGGTCCCATCCCCACGCATTTGATTAGCTCTCGTACTGCGTCTAAACAACAACAGAAACTAAAATTTGAATGAACTTACACTCGAAACACAAAAGGGAGAGAAAAATAGATTAAATGAACTCTAATGCTGAAATAAAAAGTATTCTGACCTTTAGTTTAATAAAAATGGTAGAAAAAAACATAAGAATCAAGACCCCTGATACCCTGTAACTTAACATTAGTATAATTATGCAAATCAAGACGTAAAAGTGTGTCCTTAAAACAACCAAAAATAAAATAAAATTTTCACCAAAAGCCAAAAATTTGGAACAAACTAATTTGCTAGAAAAAATAAAAAGAAAAAAGTGATAAGGAAAAGACGACTTAAACACCGATCAAACTCTTATAAAATCGAAATCATTTTGACAACAGGGCAAAACAAAAAATAAAGTTAACCCTGTAGAGTATGAACAGATGAGAGAGCAAAAGTCTCGTCTATTTCATGTTCGCTATACTGTTCCCAAGAAGCACCAAAGTTCGCACGGTGTATCTGTTGAACATGGTCGGCTACAGAAATTTCTACTTCCTCCAACTGAAAAAAAATTAAATTAAATTAATCCAACTAGCCTTCTTCTCCATCAAAAAAAGTACACAATTCATATTAAATAATCTTACCAAAAAGTTGCATAACTTACTACAAAAGTATCATCATAGCATTCGTCACTCTCAGGTTGTCCAGTGGCAGGGTCAACATCTTTAACTTTGAACTTTAATGTCGCACTAAATGAGCCGGTCACCACCTCAGGATCACGCATTTGCAACAATGTATAAGTTGTTCCGACTGTTAAGTAAGGAAGCGACGGGATAGGAATGACATTACATATACGCCATCCTTCTGTATCTGGAAGTGCTTCCAACTCGACGCTAACGTTCTCAAGAAGCTGATCACTAACCGTGTTTTTGCAGTCAAACTGTAAGTATTTTATTTTAGTAATAAATACGTTCCAAGTACAAAAATGACTACTCTAAAAAAAACTTTCCATAGAAATACAACTTCGAATTAGCCCCGTGAAATAAACGAAACGTGGTGTAACTTATTTTTCAACAATAAAAAATATTCTTCTTCATCTAACCTGCAACAGAATGTGGTTAGGAAAGGTATGTTTGATGTAATCTACGCTGTATTCAGTGACTTCATCAGTAAGAGCAACTGGCTGAGAGGAACGGAAAAGAGGACCGAGAGAAGCAAATTCGGGGATTGCGCGTAACTGCTCTGAAAAAGCAATACAGAGCAGGTTTTAAAATAGTGGTATAAAAGTGATAGCTTTAAAATTCCAGAATTACAAACAAACCTGCATACACCTCTAGTCGAGTCTTCTTCTCTTCCTTTTTGACAGAAGTAACTTCAGGTGAAACAGCTGATTTTCCTTTTTCTGTCACCGTTAAGGGTTTCTGCGACACAGGTACAACTTTAAGGTCAAATGGGGCGCTATAGTCCTCAGAAGTTAAATACTGCTCCACAGCATGCTCTAAGCCAGAAGCAGAAACCTAACAATAAAATTTTTCAGGTAAAAGATTGGTTAGAGAATAAAGTTTTGTACAAAATTTTAAAATCCTCTCTTAAATATAAAACAAAAATTTATAAAAAAAATTTAAAAGTTAGAAACTCTCTAAGGCAACAAAGCCGAGAACTAACCTGCAGAGAATTTAAGATGTACTTGGCAATAATTTGTTCATTTCCAGTCTGTAAAATAGTAAGGAAGAATGTGGCTCTATCACGAACTTCGTCGTCAGTATCTAGCAAACACCGACGCAACAACACCTCAATAGAACTTCTCAAATCTGCACATTGAGCACCAAATTTGGCCAAAGCAGTTACTGCTGCAGCACGAACCTAAATGAGGAAATATCACTCAATTCCCCTCTTCAAGAGCTACTGTTTGATTAATTAGCTTTGTGGTAATGATATACTTGAGTTGTTTCCAAAATCACACGATTGTACACAAAACGAATATAACGTGATGGATTAGGAGTTGATGGTGCTTCTCTACCAAGTAAATGCAGCACACGAGTCGCTAACACTGCATGTTCACAGTCTTCGATGAACTCACACAGATGTGAAAGACCTGCATAAAAAAATTTTGACTAATAAGCTGCGTAGTACAACAGTTGACCATTTTTGCAGATTCCAACATTTCTCCAACTTATCAAATTTTGTAATTTTGAACTTCACACTCCGAAATGCAAGAAAGACCGGCGAAGGCTTATGGTGTTAAAGTACCTGCTTCCTTTGCATCAGGATTCTCCTCAATGATGTCAGTAATCGTATCAACAATACTTTTTTTGTATTCAAAACCTCCATCGTCCCGCAACATTGTGGCCAAGAAAGACATCATAGTCGCATGTTTGCGAGGGTAACGAGAGCAGAGTGAACGTATTGCTTCAATTACAACTATCTGCAATGCAGCAGTAAAAAAACATAGCCGTGTGCCGACCTACTCAGATTCAAACCAAAAAAAAAATACATTCCCAAATTTTATTAGAAAATGAAGAATAAATGTTAAGCGTTTCTGCCAACAAACAGTGAAAAACAGGAATGTACAAAAAAAACTACACAGATTCTCCATGACAGTAAGATAAAGTAATGATGTACCGAAACAAAACTTAGGAACAGAATAATTCTGAAATAACAGATGAATTTACCAAAAAAAAACTTATTTGTCTACTTCGTTTTCGTATCTTACCTTAAACTCATCACTGATTTCGCTCACGAATGTACTGATCTGTTTCATTAAACGCTCTACACTCGACTCCGCACCGGTTTTAAGCAACGTAGTTATAGCAAGCGTAGCAATAGACCGATTTTGGTCGGTTATTAGCTGCTCCAAGTCAACATTACATGAGATTACCGCTTGTGGATGCTTCATGGATATCTAAATAAACGTCCTTACCTATGGATTCAGAACAAAACCTAAACCTGCTCTTCGTCATAAAATGCTTAGAAAAAACTATACACCAAATAATATAAATTACCAGATCAAAAAGAAAAGTTATTTCCAATGATGGAAATAAACTACATAAAAAATATATTAACTCTTTCTTCCAAAAACTTTGTGTTAAATGAAATGAAAACTAAAAACTCAATGATTGAAACGGGAAAGCAGAAAAATCAACTAAATTACTTTGTTTAAGGTCCGCACAGCTGCAAACCTCAAAGCTGGTTTTGGAGAAGAACAGAAAAGTTGAAGAACTGAAACTGCAGAAGAGAGTTCCGAAGATGTTGTATTTGGTAAACGGACAATAGCTGAAGCTGCTTCATAAACAACCATCTCACACTTATGACGCAAACAGGACTCAATGAATTGGAACAATGGGCTTTCGGCACTAAATAATCTGTATAAAAACTAAATTTGAGAAATCGAAAAAATATCGAATAAGTCTTTACCCAGCTTCATCCTCTTCCATTAGTTTAGCAGCTAAACGAATTAGGTAACATATCGCATATGGCGAGCGAAGAGAAGATTTACTCCATTTCTGAACTAATTTGTTGACTGCCAATCTGTCACTACTTCGAATATGATACAAAAGTCCCAACGCGTGAAACTGAACCATATTGCTAAAACATCCCAAAATGTGTCATTAAAAAATTAATGGTGTGCCACAAAATTAAAGTATTTGATTCAAGTTGAAAAACGGCTCTTCTCAAGGGGTAAAAACCTCTCTGATGAGACAGCTTCTTGAACTTCATTCGCCCAGCGCCTCACAACTTCGGGGTTCTTTTTCAGCAAATGAAGGGAGGAGACAAGTGCAGCAGAAGCAACAGCAGGATTCTTGTCTACGATAGCCTGAACAGCTTGAACTCTTTACACCAGTAACTGTTCAACTGTTCATATTTGTGTATTTTCACACTCACTTAAAATTATGTCACTCTAATCTATCGCCGCAGGTCTTTTCTAATTTGTTATTATCTTGTCATTCGTCATTATATGAAGCCTTATTTCCTATGTAAAAAAATGAAACAAATAAAATAGAAAAAAACATTTTTTTTCCAAATTCCTACAATGCTTCACAGTTTGAAAAAAAAACAGCTAAAGAAAAATCTGAAAATGCTAAATTAGAGAATATTTCATGTACAACAAATATTGGTTAGACTAAACCTGCCAAATACAATACAATTAATATGCCAACCTGCTTCATATAACGTTCTATTGCTTGTAGCATACCCCCATCAATTATAGAGCAAAGAGCCCTGACTGCTGGAGCACGATACATATCCTCCCGCCCAGTCATGTCTTTCGTAAGGCTTAAAAGGATGAGATAACAGATAACAAAACCTATGTGTAAAAGAGAAATTGTAAAAAAAACAAGAAAACTAGCTAAATTTGAACCTGCTCGTTACAATAATTACATCGTTAGAAATATCGCAAAGCTCTTTGATAGCAAGGTAGACTAGACGACGTAAATTAGCATCCTTGCTCTGCCACAACTTTGTAACTGCAAAAAAAGCCTCGGTCGCTTCATTACGTCCAATAGATTCACCTTGCTGTCGCAAATAAAGCAATTTGGTTAAGATCAGTGTGCATTTGCGTGCATTAATTGGCGTATCATTGAAAGCACGAGCCTGCAACATGATTTGAGTCCATAACAGATTAGAGTGACTTTTAGAAAAAATTTTCTCAAAAATGAACCTTTGATTTCAAAAGGTATCAGAAAAAATGGCTTGTATAACGATATGTGAAAAAAAAAAGTGGTAATAAGTATCAAACCTCTTGCAAGACTGTTGTTTTGTCCAAATTGGCATATGGATTCGCTCCGCTCGCTTCCTCGTCTTTTGCCTTTTCACGTTTCATCATTTCTACTCAAGCTTTATGCTGACCCTGAAATTCTGTTATTACTTTCTATCCAACCAACTAATATTCTTCTAGGACGCTTTAAAGACAAATTATTGGTGTTAAAAAAACTTTTCGTTAGTATTCTTTAATCTACTATGCTAATCTGTCTCAGGTGACACACTGACAATGCATAAAAGTTTTACAAAAAAAAGTTTTCACATAAATAAAAATTTTCCAAAGTTTTTAATATTTTATCACTCTTTTAATAATTAATTAATTCAACTGGTAAAATTGGAAAAAAAAAA